GGTGCAAATATATGGAAAGAGTCTGTTCCAGACTCCATTTGTCTTTTGCCGAAGCTCAGACTCTGGCACAAGATCGGGAACGTTGGAAGCTCTGTGTGACGTGTCTGCCTCCGCGAACCGAAAGAAGCGGCGATGGAAGATGAAGATGAAGAGGCAGCAATCTTCTAAAACGCAACTGAAACTGGATGCCGATTCGTTAGCGAAAAACTGACTCGCCTAAACTTAGAACCCTCTGTTCAGATAGTGCCAATCTTGTGCCAGAACTAATAGTAAACATTGAAAGAAAAGAAGAATGACTCCTCCGCCGACGATGAATAGAGATTGTTTTATTATTTTCCATGTTAGACCCACTGTTTAATTTATGCTGCGAATGAAGTATATATATTCCGTAAATAATAAATTCAATATGTATGGAGACTTATACATAAACGAGTTTCGCGCTGTGTTTAATATGTCTATTAAACTACCCTGGTTTCATATAGACGCCGTTTTATGGACACCCTTTTCCGCCAAACACTCTGTTAAATCCATGGTATATTATAATAATGAATGTGCTTCTGAATAAACTAATGAGCGAAAGAACAAACTCTAGCTTAAAACATTCATTTCCTGCCGACGAGTTGCGTTATCACACGGGTAGCGTCATCAAGGTGTGACGGTACCATCTGCACTGCAGCGAAATGCGTCGGAAGACAATAAAAACTTTTATAATCCATCGGCTTCTTTTGTTGTGCCGCTAACCACAAGCCCCAATAAAACAGCTGCAGTTCGAAGGTACAGAATCAAAACGTCAAGACAAATAAGCGAGAACAATGAGTCACTTAATGAATGAATGAGCGAAGTGACGAATACATGAAAGGGGAATGAATGAAGAAACGGAAGAATGAAGTAAGTTATTAGAAATCGTTTTCTTCCTTTCTGAAACTCTGCACAATCATATCAAAGAAGAATGAGATATGACTGAAGAATAAAACGCGTGTAACGGAAAATGCTTCCTACACGATTTATTTTCACATATGAAAGTTAAGTTAATGTGCAGAGAAAAACAATCTCCCATTTACAGTCACGCCCAGTTCAGAACAAAACAGATTCTACAGTCATACATACATTTA